GCCAGCAGCTAATGCGCTGCCTCATTGAGCCATTAATTTCCAGGCGGGGCAAAGGTAAAGGTAAGATGTAAGGTCGATTGGGGGGGCGGTGGGTCAGCCTGTAACCTTTGCAATTTGTCCACATCGATTAGTGTCCGGCGCACATCGTCTCGGACTGACAGAATGACAGCCATGTCCACGTCTATTATTTTCAACTTAACATGGCCCGCGCCTCTGACAATTGGCCAGGACATTTGCCCCTTCACTTTCCCTCCGAGGGGCGCCACAATCCGACTTGCTCACCGCAAAACTGCACAATGGCCGACCTACAACTCACTTCCTTCCGACCACGCCCAACTTTCTCACCCCCCCCCCCTCAGGGGCGGGGTCCCGCTGGCCCCTTTCTTGCAATATCTTTAATGTTTTTTTCCCCTTTTTCCTAGCCTGTCCCTTTTTTATGTCGTCGAAACGTGTGTCCAGCGGAAATGACAACGACAGTGGCAATTACATTGTTGCATGACACAAATAGTGTTGCCTACAACAAGGGGAACAACAATTGTTAAGATATGGGGGCAAGCTAAGGGATAGCCATGGAATGTGAAATGTGGAGGGAAGCAACTCAGGGATACCCTCTCCTAAGAAATTGAATGCAGATACTTTGGAAAAGTAAAATGATTTTTAATTAAAAGTATATTATTTAATTGTGAAGATTTACTGGGATTTGTTTACCATTTTGTTTTTATCATTTTTTAATAGGTGAAAAGCTTATATGTGTAAAGGGGTCATGAATGTTGTGAACTTTAAGCCGATTAACAAGAATACATTTTTAACCAGTGATGCGGTAAAAATCTACATCACTTTGAATACAATTATCAATAGTCATTTCCATGATAATTCGATAAAAAATACATAAAAAAAGAATTTGTTAGGTGCTTATTTAAATATTAATTTAAAACTTAAAGTGCAACATTAACCATTAACCTTCGTCTCCACAAAAACTGCACGTCATTTAAAACAAAAAAACCTACACTTTAAACAAAAGGATATTTAAAATTTTTGCAAATAAGTACGTCAGAACAAATACATTATATATGTACATTGCATATGCTGTCTTTTGCTTACAGGGAAATAAAGAGACAGCTATAAAAATATAAAATTTTCATGTGGCAGACACTGCGTGCTTTGCTGGGTGGCAGAAAAGAAATAAATTTAATTGATGTCATGCCGTTAAAAATGTGGCATTTTAACTCGCTTTAAACGCGCGGCTGGCCGCGTGACGTTTGTTCAATTGTTATCAATTGTCCTTTGGAAAGTGCTCGGTCCGTGCCATATGCCGACACTCCGAGTTCTGTCCCGTGTCCACCGATATGTCCTGCGTCCTGTGTGCATGTTTACCGTATTTCCTCGGGCCGAGCCCATTCGCCATTCGCCATTTACCACTGGCCATTCTCCATTCGCCATTCTCCATTTCCCTTTGCTGTTGCCATGGCCGAGTGCCAAACTAATTGCTACAAATTAGCGCCTTTATGCCCGGTCCAACTGCTCGTGGATCTGCCAAAGACCACGACTCCTGGACTGGCTGAGCATTTCCCGGCCCTTTGTCCTGACTTGGGGGTCCTTGCCCCACTCCCGACTTTCTCCCCTCCCCTGGTGTGCGTGTGCAACTCAATTATGCCACAATACACATTAATACGACTGCTAAATTTGGCTCAATTGTTGACAATTGAGAAAGCCTTTTGGTGGAGCATTTCGGAGTCGGTTAAACTGGCACTTTGGTAATTAAGGGGAGCAACCCTCGAAAGTTCTTTTTTCGTTTTAACAAACATTTGCCTACAATGTGAGAGCTTCATTCAATATAATTAACAAAAAAGTGGTTATTTATAACACCTTAAAAATTGTATCTTTTTAAAAAGTAAATAAATGTTACCTCTAGTAACATCAATAATAAATTCCAATGCAATTATTATTTTAATCAGTAAAATAAAAAAATGCATTATACTGTTATATATATTATACTATTTAGTTTTAACTGATTCGAAATAAATTATAAAAATTCAACAAAGTACAAAATGATTATCTCTTTAAATAATAAATGTAGAGCCCACTTGTCTCCAATAACTCAATAACTAAAATCAGTTGGCTAAATGTAAAGCTAAATATTTAAGCCAATTAATTTTTCTAGCTGTTCAGCGCACCTGAGACATAAGTATTACATTTGACATTAACCTAAAGAAGCTATGTATTTCTGTTGCTCGAAATAAATCAAAACTTTTTCCAATAAAGCACCAAAAATCGGAATCTTTAAAATGTCTGGCAAGAAAGATGAAAGTTGCTCGTTGCCAGACTATTTGGGCCACTTAACACCTCGCTGATTGTCAGCCGAAGCGAAACAAATCGTTTACTTAGAATTATTTTAATTTTAGCATTTTAGCAGCTGCCGTTTTCGTTTTTTAAAAATGTTTTCCCCATGTTTTTCCCGGGATTTTCTTGCTGCCCAAGGAAGGCAACATGGACAAACGACAATTTGTGTCGCTCGGTTGTCAGGACAACAACAACAAAACCTGGCGAGCGTAATAATAAATGAGAAGTGGAAAAGTTTTGCCGCCGCCGTGCTTATTGTCAAGCTCGGCCAGGCCATAAAAAACAAACTTCAATGGCAATAAGGCGACAAAAAGCGAGCTCTATGAGAAAAAAAAAAACCGTGAAAAAAAGCAGCCGGACCAAAAGAACAAGGGACAAAACAAAAACAGCCAGAGGAAAAGTTCAAGGCACTGACTTTATAGCTGCAATAATGCCCGTAGACCAACTGGCGAATGAGTGGGGAGGGGGGCTCTGGCCCCAAAAAGGTGAGCCACATGCCAGCAACAACGAGCGGGAAAACAAAGCCAGTTGCAGCCAGCAGGGGGTGGTGGGCGGTGGGTGGTGACCAGTGGGTGGAGCAGGTGGGCCAGGTGGTAAAATGGCCAGGAAGCAACAAGGCCACGCCGTATCCCGCCGAATGTGTTGAGGCACTTTGGCGAGGTAACGAAATGTAACAAAGTGCCGGGGCGTGGCGGTTGCCTGCTGAAAGGGGGGCAGCTTGGCGGGGTCCTCCGTGCGGGGGTATTAGGTCAGGTTTGTTATGTGGCTTACACCGGAAATTTGTGTTTAGAAGGCCGCCGGCGCAACTCTTGTTGCTCTTTTTTGTGGGCCCAACGAGGGGAAGTATAAGACCCTAATATGGTCCACTAAATTTAACTTTTTAACAAGATACGGAAGATTTTACTCAAGTTCCTGATTGACAGCTAGAGATTATCACAAAATTTCCTCACTCACATATACATCACCTGAAAATTAACTTCACGTTTTTTAGTAGAGACCGAATATCTTTAATATACGTTTCGTAAACCTAAATGAAATTGAAAATTTAAATAAAACCTCTAAGCGTAGAATATTTTTCTGGAATTTCCAGAGTTGTTTAATGCGTTCTTCTTTTTATCTATGATTTAATGATATCTGATCTATTGTAATTTGGAGACTCTGCAATTTAGCCGGATGGAAATATCGAGTAATACATTTTTATACATACAAAACAACACATTTGTATCTTTAATATAAATTCCGTAGATCTGAATGGTATTATTTTCGAAAATTTTAATGCTATGCCCAGAATATTATCCTGGAATTTTTAGAATTTTGTTAATGCGTTCTTGTTTTAATCGATTATTTTGGGATATCTGATATCTTGGTCATTTGGCAAGTCTCCAATTTAGCCGTATGGAAATATCGCCTTATACAATTTTAATCACTGACTTCTGCTGGTTAATGTGCGTTGTTGCCTTATCAATAATATGGGCAATCAGCAATTGAATATTTATCTATGCCCAAACACCAAACACCGTGTTAATGACCAGGCCAATGACAAAAGGACAATGCCGGTGGTCGGCACGCAAAAGTCAAAAGCGCCGCATTCCCACAGGACACTCGGCCAGGCTGTTGGGTAAACACACAGTACACGATGGCCAAAACACTTCAACTCTGAGTGACGGAATGACAGAGTGATGGACAGGTCCCGGGCACATTAATAAAGTCAATAGAGAGACAATAGCTGAAAATTAACAAATGAATTGAAATTACTTAAACAAACTCATTAGGCCCACGGAATGTCAGAGTCCTGAGCCTGCGTTGACACCAGTGGAGCGCCGGTCCCCCGGGATCCTCATCCTCGGACAAGCATTAATATTCCGGCACAAATGTCGTTTTGTGGGCGGTGCTTTTATCCCCGCCCCTGGTGAGCATTGGCCATCGAATAGCGGTGAGTTTTTACCCGTTTTCCCCCATTTCGCCATCGCATGTAATTAAATTTTCCAACCTTAATGTGCTAAGCATAGTAATTTACCACCCACTGCCCACCGCCCCCCGCAGGAGGTCCTTCTGTCCGCCCGCCTGCCAGTCACGAGTTTAAATTGTCAGAAACTGTGACAGCCCGACACCTTTGGCCCAGGTGTGGAGGAGACCGGCGAGGCGACAAGGCGCATATCTATAATTTTCATTAATTTTAATTGGCCCTGGGTGTGGGTGTGGGTGAACGCCGCTCAATTACAACGTATTCAACTTTTTATTGAATTTTGAACTCGTTTTGGGCCTTCCTGATAGCCAAAGGGTTGAACTGCATTTTCAGCATTAATCTTAAATGAAAAATTGACATAAATAGGAGTTTTTTTAAAATAAATAAAGAGTTGATAACTTTAGGCCTAGAATCTGGGAATATTTAATTTAAAACATTCTACAAATTATATAATAGATACAATGATAGTTCAGTCATAGCAACTTAAAAGCTGGGGAATATTTGTTAAATATTCTTATGAATATATTAAATATTAGTTAAAAGATCAGAATATGGTTTTCCAATGTCTCCAATGGTTCCCAATAAAATATAAATGTACAAAAAGAAAAAGAAAACAAAGATAACTAATAATAAAATGATCGTTTAAATATTATTGAAAGTTTTAGATAATTTTTAAAACAAAGTAGGCCTGCTTGTTATGCCATTGGAGAATGCAACGAACCATTTAAGAACAGTTTGTTTTTTTAAACCTTTTTGGAACATTTTTGGAAACATTGGGTAGCGTTTGGAAGTAGACGCGACCCGTCAAAATTCAAAATTTCGCTGTGTTGCCTGCATTGAAGGACCCGCCAATATGATGTCCAAATTGGGTGCTATCCTGGCCCGAAGGATAGTTCGACCCAGCGACAAACGCCATCTACTTAACCGGTCCCTTCTGTTTGCCCAGAAGCTGAGCAGGGTCAAAGTTCGCGGAGAGCACTGCTGCGGGGGAATGAAGGTGGTGCCCTCCCGCGAAGAGCACCTGAACGCCCTGAAGGGTGAGGAGTTCGATGTGCTGGTCATCGGCGGAGGTGCAGTGGGTTGTGGTTGCGCCGTGGACGCGGCCTGTCGGGGTCTCAAAACCGCCCTCATCGAGGCAGATGATTTTGCTAGTGGATCCAGTTCGCGATCTAGTAAACTAATTGACGGCAGTGGATCCTACCTGGGCACCGCCCTCCGGGAAAAGGACATCGAGCAGCTGTACATCATGCTTCAGATGATGAGCGAGCGAGTGACCATGCTGAAGAACGCTCCGCACCTGAACCGCATCCAGCCGATGATCATACCCATATACAGTGTGCTGCAGATGCCCTGCACCTGGCTGGGATTAAAGGTAGGTGGAGGTGAAGGAGTCTATAGGTCTTAAACCCCTTTCGCCCCCTCCTAAGGTCTACGACTTTATATCTGCAGCTTCGAATGTGCGTGGATCGCACTTGCTCTCAAAGGAGGCCACTCTCTATGAGTTTCCGCTTCTGAAGACCAAGGGCCTCCGCGGTGGAGTAGTCTACTACGATGGCCAGGTGGACGATGCCCGGATGTGCATCGCCTTGGTAATGACCGCCGTCGCCCTGGGCGCCAATGTGGGTAACCACATGGAGGTGGTGGAGCTCATGCCCCTGGAGGGTTGCTGCCGAGTGGTGGGCGTCAGGGACAAGATCTCCGGCGAGCAGTTCTACATCCAGGCCAAGTCGGTGATCAATGCCACGGGCACCAGCACGGATGCCATCCGGCAGATGGACAAGGAGGGTACTGCTCCCATCCTGGTGCCCACTGTGGGAACCCATGTCTCGCTGCCCCGGTATTTTGGCTCAGGGCACTACGGCCTGCTGAGTCCGGCGCACAAAAAAGATGATCTCACCATCTTTATGGTGCCGTTCGAGAATCACACGGTTCTGGGCATTCGCGAGACGGAGCTGGACGAAGTGCCCGGCCGTGGGAGTCCCACTCCCGATCCAGATGACGTGGACTGCCTCCTGGAAGCGGCCAAGGCCAAGATGGAACCCTGCGTGGAGCTGGGACGCTGCCACGTCCTAAGCGCCTGGACGGGAGTAAAGCCCAATGTGAGCTGTCCCACCGGCAAGTCGGAGGAGGAAGAGGAAAAGCGGGGCTCCCCGATCAGCAGCTATGTGATTGAGGTCAGTGGCGATGGACTCATCACTTTGGCTGGTGGACGTTGGAGTAGCTATCGGGTGATGGCCGCCGATGCCGTCGATGTGGCGATCAAGTCTTGTGGACTGTGCGACGACCATGTGACCTCCAGTTGGACGCAGGACCTCAAGCTGGACGGCGCCGAATCCTGGTGCTGCATGCTGCCGCTGGAGTTTGTGCAAGACTACGATGTGCCCATGGATGTGGCGCAGCACATATCCGATTCCTATGGCTGGAATGGACATGCCCTGTTCTCGGATGCTCCTGATCTGAGGAAACGCCTGCATCCCAACTTCCCGTACATCGAGGCAGAGGTCCAGTATGCGGTGCGGAATGAGTACGCCTGCACTTTGGTGGATATAATCGCAAGGCGCCTCCGCATCGCCTTTGTGGACGCGGCTGCCTCGCTGCACATGCTACCCAAGATCCTCAAGATCATGGCCGAAGAGAAGGGTTGGGAGGAGGATCAGCAGCAGAAGCAGATGCTGGCAGCCCAGGAGTTCCTGGTGCGCCAAATGGGACTCGGTACGATTGTCCGACCCAGGGGCACGAGCAAGAGTCAGCCCAAGAAGAAGGCCTCCTCGGAGGGATGTTGCTGCCGAGCAGCTGCTCGCAAGGAGGCCAGGAGCTACTCCAGAGCTCACCCACAGGTGGTAGTTGCCAGCAAGGATGAAAGCCTCGAACCTTTACCCATTCAGAGATACAAAAAATATTACTTCCAACCCTTGGCCACACATAGATCCAGCAAGAACAACATGCAACCCTTGGCCACCCAAAGATCCAGCAAAAATGTCCGTAGAACTACAGATTTCTTGCCATTCACCTCGGGCATTACCCACAAGGCTGTGATGGACAATGATCAATCTAGATCCATTGCCACTGGCGGCTGGTCGTTTGGCAAGAGGGAACTTATCATCAACGCTTGGCGCAACAAGTTCATGTGCTGACATATTTTTAGATATTGAAAAAGTTTGATGAGCTCGGATGATTTTTAAAAATTTTGGGTTTAACACATTTCGTTCTGTGCGGGTCTTTCTTAGCCTTAAAATAAAATCGGCGCACTCCAGCTGTTTTGGTACTAGTTAAAAATGATCACGTCTACTTCAGTAGTATTTACATTTTTATACCCGTTACTCAGAGTAAAAGGGGAAGTATGTACCAGGAAGAAGGAAGAGTCTCCAATACCATATAGTACACATATTCTTGATCAGCATCACTAGTCGAGTCGATCTAGCCATGTTCGCCTGTCCGTCTCTCCGTGTGAAAGCTGTGATCTCCGAAACTATAAGAGCTAGAGGGTTCAGATTTCAGATTTAGATTCCATGTTTTTGTACGCAGCGTAAGTTTGTTACACTCAGCCCCACAAAAAAAATTTAACTGACAATACCTATTAATTGACCCAAAAAAGTTTGCCACGCCCATTCTAACGCCTACAAACACCAACGCTTAAATCTGTCAGTCGCCCACATAACCATATATTGAGATAGCGCCGCACATCTCCATCTCCTTTTTGGCGTCTTAAGCTGAGTAACGAGTATCTGATGGTCGGAGCAGTCGACTATAGAGTTCTTCCTTGTTTTATGTTTTTTTATTTAGATAATGAAATTTCAAACATGTTGAGAATGATGCTACCTTGATTTCTAGATGATTCGGATGTGAAATCGATGACAAATAAGAATCTGAAGAGTCCGATGAACAAGATGTACCAATTAGAGACTGGAGAGACAGCAGCCCAGGACTCCATCGATATAGAGATCGAGTAACTAAAAATAATTAATGGTATCCACCAGATACCAGATCGGAGCAAAAGATACCATTAAATATTTTTAGTTACTCGATTTCTATATCGATGGAATCCTGGGCTGCTGTCTCTCCAGTCTCTAATTGGTACATCTTGTTCATCGCACTCTTCAGATTCTTGGCTTCACACCCGACCAAGTTTCTACATCGAGCCATGTCTTCATAAATTGAATACTCCGAGACTCGTGATTCTTGACCTACTGGACTTCTTTACGACCGTACTCTAGTCACAATCCACCAAAGAAGATACGATTAGATGCTTAGGGCGAGAGAATCAGCTCCTGGTTGTCCTGCATCAGGCAGTTGATGGTATCATCCCCGGTGGAAGACGACGAAGCTTCTTAACTCTAATGTTATAAATCTTGCCAAGTATTCAAAAAATCCAGGTCTCCAGAAATCAAGAAAAATCTTTAGGTGGCAGCTCATAAATCATCACGTCACTCGCTTGGGGCGAGAGAAGCAGCTCCTGATTGTCCTGCTTCAGGCAGTTGATCGTATCACCCCCGGTGGATAACGACGAAGCTGATTATTTCTGATGATATAAATCTCGCCAAGTATTCCAAAAATCCAGCTTTCCAGAAATCAAGAAAAATCTTTAGGTGGCAGCTCCTAAGTCATCACGTCACCGTCTCTTGGGGATCTTGGCTTAATCCCTGGCAGAATTTTACTTATTGAACTGTTACAGAAATCATACCGGAAGTTCTCGCTGTTCTTGAACTGTCACAGAAATCTTGTAACGAGAGGTACTTGCTGTTGACCCCCGATCCTCCGGACTGCATTACGACGTAGCCCGGTCAGTATCCACCAGAGAAGATACGATCAGTTGCTTGGGGAAAGAGAAGCAGCTCCTGGTTGTCCTGCTTCAGGCAGTTGATCGTATCACCCCCTGTTGACGACGACGAATCTACTTATTTCCTATAGTAAACATCTCGTCAGTTCTCAAGAAATCGAAGAAGAATCTTTAGTTGTCAGCTTATAAATCATCACGTCATCGTCTCTTGTGGAACTTGGCCTAGTCCTTGGAAGAATTCTACTTCTTGAGGTGAGGTTCTTTTTACGTGAGGATCTTGCTGTTATTGAACGATTTCAGGGAATTCGTACTTTGGAAGGTACTTGCCGTTTCTGGTAAAATACAGTTTGGAAAATACTGGAAAATTGTACAGTGAACTGAACAATATGTTCCTCTAAAGGTATAAACCATGGTCTGCTAGGTTTTCCTTATTTCAAATAACAAAATGCAACACTTGCACCATGAAGTTGATTCTTGTACTCTTAAATGTCCGCTGGCACACTGCACGTACATTGCCAATAGATGACAATACCTAAGGAAAGCGATTACAAGTTTGTATTAACACTTTTTCACTTCTTTTTTATCAAATAATTTACCTGCCAAGAAACAAAAATTGGTAACTGATAACTATGCTTGTAGAGCTTGTGCCCCTGGGAAATCCCAGAGTGAACTGAAAGTATAGCTCCTCTAAATTTATGTCAATAAAATTTTGATAGTCATGGACTGCTGGATTCCTTTTTTTTCTGATAATAGTTTTGTACGATGGGTGATACCCAGACTGAAAGCCCTCAAACATATAACAAATTGTAATTAAATGTTGAAGTTTAGTAATTGCTCCTTAAATTATATTTTAACTATGCAACAAAGTTAAAAACATGTAATAATTTACTCCTCTCATGTAAGGCTTCCTGGACTTCTTAAGAAAAACAAAACAATTTCGTTTCGATATTTCTTAGGCAACATTCGACAGTCGTTATAGATTTTTCTTCTTCGATTTCTGCCCATACGTTACTTTGGAAATTCGACACTGCTGTTCCTGTCGTTTGTTTTTATAAATTAGCTTTATTTGCTGGAGGGAGATAAATTCTGAGGGGTTGGTGATTTTGAATTATTGTTATTGGGGCTGAAAACCATTTCTTGTTGTTTGAATATGCTTATCGTTCATATATTGCTTTATTTATTGGCTGATTGGGGGCCGAAAATGAGTCTGAATGTGGTGGTATTTATATAAGCGCCACATTTTTTCCGCCGCTGCTCGTTAGCCACGCAAATGAGCTTTTTATGGCCGCATTTTTAAAGTGCGTGGAAATCAAAATGAAATTAAAGTAACATATACCATTGAAGTCTAGTTTATGGTTTTACTTTTTTTTCCTGGATGGTACTTTTTAAATTTCCCAGTATTTCAATGACTTAAATCCAAATGTATGACATTTTTGTAGGCTCATGGTTAACACATCGTTTTTGCACTCGATGTGAATGCCGGTTGGGAAACACTTTCGTGAAGTCACGCGCGAAATTTTCCATTGCTGTAAAAAAAAACTATTAAACTGGTCCAACTCAAAACACTTTCACTTTTCGCCACGCTTCCCAGCAAAAACCATTCTGCGGTCTTTTGGGCCGCATTTTTATGCTGATTAGCTGAGTTAACAATTTGCAGCACGCGAAACTATTTCGGGAATTTCAAACTTGAAACATAAATTGCAATGCCCAGGCCAAGGGTCGGTCCACCAGGGTGTTCCACTCGATTTTCCCCTCCAGCCAAAACCACTGCGGCGTCCAACAATTTTAATAAGTTCTGGCCAGCAGTCTAAGGAAGTAAGTAATAGGGAAAAATGCAGGCGATGCACACGCGAGCTCATAATAATAAGAATTCTTGCCAACGATCCGGAGAAGGAGCTCTACGGCCAGCTGGCTGCCTTATATGCAGCCACTTCGAACAAGCTAGTCAAGGACATTTAGCATGCTTTTAAAAAAAAGAAAAAATTAAATAAGAAATAACGCCTTAAATAGCGTTGAAATAGCCGAAAATAAGGAGCATAAAAAAAACTTATGGCGGAAGTAGTGCCATAAAATGCCGAAAATAATGCGAGGCGACAAACGGAAATAACAGGAAAATAGTGTGTCATAAAATATGCTTTAGTACTTCGGGAGTGAAAATCACCGGGGAACAGCGAAAAAGTAGGAAAAGAGATCTGGCGGAAAAGATTTAATGTCCGAGGGAAAGACGAGGAAAATGTAAAAGTAGTGTCTCACAGATATTAAAACAAATAGCAGCGCTAAAATAAAATCAGGTGACAGATCCGAACCTGGATTATTTGGGGAACTTATAAACATATTTTATATTTTTTGGAAAATACTCCTACCAAAATGTATGCATTCATATTTTTCGAAAGGAAGCTTAAAAACATAATTCAATTATTTGAAATAATTTATTTCTTAGAGCTTTGCCTGCACTCAAGCAATTCGCATCTTCGCAAATAGAATGCCAACCAGCCATGGCAGTTTTTCATATTTCCAGCACTGGGAAAATAGTAATTCTTGGCCAAACCATGCATAAAATCATAATATATCTCCGAATAGAGAAAACACGCAAACACAGTTATCTCGGGCCGAGTTGAAGTGGAAATCGGCATGATGGTGGCCGGGGAAATGGCACTCAGCTGCAAAACATTGGACCAAACGATAAGTGACAAACATGGTAAGGCAAACAAATGTGTGTTTTATACATATATCCATATATGGATGGCCGGGAAAAGCAGGAAAAGCGGGAAAAGCGGGAAAAGACGGGGACCAGAGATGCACAACTGTCTGATAAGTGTGGAGAGCATTTTACCATTTTGCGGAGCGTCTTTCTGCCCGCAGGTGACATGTTAAACGTCTTGTAAGCATTTGCATTTCCCTGCTCATAAAATAGAAGGAATAAGATGGAAATAGGAAAAGTCTCTCTGGCTGTAAAATATATATATCCATGTATACTTATGTGTGGAAATAACTGAACAAGCATGACATGGCAGGGGCCAACATCTTTTATCTGCAGTTCATTCATTTTGTTGGCAGCGACTTCGGAAGGGTTGAGTTTTTGGCTTTGGCTTAAAGCATATTTGATTATGTCACAAAATATCCTTGAGCGCCAGCCCCTTCGTTTGCTTAGCCAAAGATAAATTTAACAAATATGCAAATAAAACACACCCCCTCCGAGTGGCAAGAAAATTGTTTTCATAAATTTTTCAAGTATGCCCAATTTTGTCTTTGGCCATTTTGATGTGGACAACCTTTTGGATAGGCTCAGAAAACAGCCACAGCAGCAGCAAACAAAAATTGAAATTATTCTGCTCCTCCCAAATTGCTTTTAATGGTAAAGGTAAACAAACACTTTTCTGGACACATCCAAATATCAAGGTCCATTAAGTTTCCATAAAAGAGAAGTGCAATATGTGAGCACGTGTTGGCTGTAAATGTGGCATATAGTTAGCAAA